CTACCCACTTTTATTTTTTAATCTACGCGGAAAGTTAGTAATATATAACTATTTCAATTGTACTTGAGATTAAATTACTCATTCATGGAACTTTTATGTGACATATGAGTAACTATGTACTTGTTAATAGTTTACAATTAAATGAATCAGATATCAAATACTGAGAAAACAATGGTTTGTTTATGTACATGATGTGTTTGCATGCACATTGATGAGTGGGGAGTTTTGAGACATTGACTACTTCCGGTAGTCATAAAAAATTATAAAACGAACCCGGAATGTCTACCTAAACTTGTGGAAAATACATAAACCAGTGAAAGGTTGTAACACTAGAAAACCCTTTTTTTCATAAATGTGCTCTTCCATACTTATAACATATTTTTACATGATATGTAACAATATAGCTTATTATTAAAAATATGTTATTCAGCGATAAAGTAGCTTTTTAATGGTGAAAGAATTTTTGAACTCGGTTGAGTAGTTTTTGAGTTTTTTCAATACATACATTTTCCATTTATAATATTAGTACAGGTATATATATTCTTGTAATTTATTCACACAATGTAATTTCAAAACATCAACATTAATTAAATTTAGTACTCACATTAGAAAATCCCGCGGCGAGGACAATCATCCACCCCCAGCCGCCGTCGGGAGGGATAAACTCGCCCTCCTTCATAACTTTCGTGCGGATTTCTTTCTTGGACTTCACCATTGTCTAAAATTATTATTTCAAATAAGTATTCTATTTAAACGATACCAATTAATAAATGGTACAACAATCTGCACCGACGTGACGAATAGGACTGATAAATTCAACGCAATCTTATTCAACAGAACTGTGGATACACTTATGACCGATGTTGGCTTACAACAAATACCTAGGGATCATTAAGCCAATGCAGTAAATACAGAAATAACGATAAAACGTGATCATAAATATGCGACGACTTATCTATTTTAATACAAATGAAATCATGTAACCAGCTGCTTAGCTAGTTATTGTTATTAAGATATTGTTAAAATATTTGCTTTACATAAAAATCTGTACTGTTATAATGGAGCGTAAAAACACACTTCTTTGTTGCCTAAGATGTCAGCAATTAAAGCATGTTTTTGAATAAATCTTTTTTTAATAAAAAGCTCAACACTTACGTCACACTTTAGGCTATATATTTTCACGCTAGCAGTAGTTAGTATTATATAAACAAATTACTTTGAAAGAACCCTTCGGATATAAATATCGGCACAGTCGTTATAAGAGATGAGTCAAAATCAAGGATTGTTAAGTAAAAATTGTGGATAGGATTAAACTTGGTAAAATAAGAAAAGAAAGGTTTAATGTCGTAGATTAAGAGTTCCTGAGCGTGTAATTTTTTTTAATCAATATTTGTATTTATATAATCATTTTCACATATCTGCAGATTAAATGCATTTTATTGATAAAACGTCAGTTTCAACAAGGTCAACATGTATGTTATGTGTTTTTATTATTAAAGTAGAGAATGTTTTTGTTTATAAATAACGTTAAACACTTGATTCTATTAACAGGACGATTTATATTACCCATGGTGTCCAAAGCTAAATCCATAGGAACGTCGAATTCCGTGTAAATGCATATTAAATCTTACTTAACTTAAATGCAATAAGGAAATTGAAAAGTTGGCTCTTTACTTTTTTTAATTCCAAAAAAATCATGTATAAAATCACCGTAACATTTCCAGTATGTAAATGAAAGGTTCCAATACATGAACGAAGTATTGCATTGCGCCGTCTTATCGTAAATCAACGTGACACATTGCAAAAGCGGCAAATGACGCCCTTTGTACCAAACACGTGTAATACATAGACATACGTATATAAATATAAATTTGGGTCACATTTATTTAGATTAAATTACTGGTTCCACTCGGCCAGTTATTATCATCCAACCAATAGGTTGGTATCTTTTAATTTCATTGGGTCACTGACAAAATATAACAAGGAACTTATAAGTTAATTAGTGTGATCCAATATTTAAACATAATATATTAGTTTCCACTACCGCAACTAGTGCAGAAACATATTATCTAATTTTATTTCTAGTACAAATGACGGTTTATCCCACCCATCACTCCGTTCTGTCCCCACGTGGGAACATAGGAGAATAAAAAGTTTCACCCGTCCCACCTTTTGCGACGAGGGGACGGTTGGAACTTATTTTATTTCATAACGGTCCCACTTGTCTCCTTATTGTTGATAGTGGGAAAATACGGTGGGACGGATGAAACTTTTTATTCTCACGTGGGGACAGGGCGGGGGGACGGTTAGGAATAATGCTAAATGACAATATAGTATACATGTGTATTAATTTACGGCAAGGTGGGACGGTCGCCTTGGGCGCCGGTAATTCTAAAACCAACCTTGACTATTTTGACAGTCGAAATATAAGTTAGTAATTTAAAAAATGTAACTCTCAAGTATTAGGGAATTATTTGAACGAATTAATTTAAAAGTAACAGACATAAGGTTTTAACTGAACAGTGTTACTGTGCAGTTAAAAGTTTGACAGTTCTCTTAGAACGCCTTTTCCAATTCCTGTTGGTGTAGAAGGCTACACTAATGACATAAAAGTGTTAACGCTATTTCTAACAACTCATACTTTTCAAGGACAACTAATCATTATAACATTTATTGGTTACATTTCACGCCACTAGGTACTAAACAAGCTTCATAACAAAGGGACTCGTCAATAAGTATCAATTGACGTGTATTATCTAATCTTTAGTAAATAATACATTTGTATTGTATTTATTTATGCAATTTCGATAAAGTATACCACGTTACAATAGTAACAAAATGTTACATATTCGTTTAGTCAGCTGATGAAGGCAAATAAGTATTACCACTGACTATAATTTATTTCTCTTATCATACGTTCTTTAATTCCATTACTTCCGTTTCCGATTGATCCATACACTTATACAAATATACTTTTAAAGCGGGGTTATGGCAAATTGCGCATCTTTGGAGGCATAGAACAGGATTTCTACAAAGATTTGATTCGTGATATTTTAGTATGTGTAACTTCAGTCCTTTAACTAAAGTCTCGTGGAACAGAATCACGATTGGACAAACTTTTCTCGATAGATTTATTTTTTGAAAATCATTATATATCTGCAATACAACAACGAAAGTAACAACTCGAATTGTTTATTTGATACACGAGTACTTTATCTTCCGTTAACCCGAAGCTTTTTGCGATACATTGATTAGTTAATGTTTAATCGAATTTAATTAAAATGAGCTCCCAAAACCATTCGGATTCTTCCCCCCAAAAAACACAAATTGTCCCTATAACTGCGCCTTAATATACACCGGCCTGGGTACTTTGTGCTCGTGATATTGCACCGAACGAGCGTTCTTGAGTTTACCACAAAACTGCACGGATTTCAGGTCATAATCAGATGTACCTTTGCGGTATTTTCTTCGAATTGATGCACATACATGCTTGCACTGTTTTCAACTAAAGCAATAAGTTTACTTTAATCCGCTTAATTAACCATTGCAATCTTTTATCAAACCCATTGAAAGTAAATTACTGGAATCGGCCATGAATCATTTTAGTTAATTCTGAATGAATTATGGATGATACGAATGTTAAAAGAAATTATTTACTGAAAGTATTATATAAATATAAATATGTATTTTTTCTAATAATTGACCTACGGTAAAAAAATTTTAAGTTAACTAAAAAATAACAAAGTATGACTTTACTTACAATAAAATTCCGGCAATAAAATTATTATCGCTTTTATTTATGTGCTTACAACTTCCTTACAGTGTATACTACAAAAAACTAAACAAACCGACGTATTTCTTACTAACCCAATAGGTTAGTAATTCTATTTAATCGCGTAATCCAGCAATTGTCTTAAGTAAATAAAATAAATTGATCCTTATCGTAGTTTTATCGATAGATATTGTAGATATATGACTGCAATATTAAATTGCTATATATCTATTGATACTGGGACTTCTAAATCCGGATTGTAGATAAAGCTACGAAACTTCATTCAACGAATTCATAATTGTAAATTTTTAATTAATCATGCATATTGTTACGTAGAATGATTTTAAGAAGTAAAATACCTAAAATAAACAAAAATATACATGTACTGCATCAGTTGTATTTACTATTTTAAACTTAATACAGGATATTATAATGTCCTCCACATTTTTACTTATTTTTAAACGATAAATACCTTTCATCTTCCTAAGCTGAGAATGAAGACTTTATCATTCTTTTCATTTTTATTCAAATCGGATATCAGAGAAACTAAGGCAAAGAGGCGAATCATAGATGGCGCTAACATCGCCTGTGCCATTAGCGTTCGCTGTTAACAATGCACTCTTAAATTAGTGATGCTGACTGAAAAGAGGAATTTGAGATAAAATCCTTTAAAACATGTTAGAAAGATGTGATAAACAATGGAATTCATGTTCGAAAATGTAATTAAAAACTTACTGTAGTCCACATTGATAACCATTTTAATTACTAGCATGCTTATGATTATGTAGTATATAAGGTTTTGTTCTTGCAAAGCTCAATAATTTGCAAGATTTTAACCATAAAAGGACTACCTACCTTCTCCTTTTTCAAATTCCTTTTGACGTTTCCGTCTTACTTTTGCTAGGGCTGTCAACTCTTGCGAGTTCTACTCTTTGCCGTAGGCAATAAGCGTGGTATTTTGTGCCTATTTGGTTTCTGCCATTTTGGCGCTGACGGTTGCGATTGATAGTGGTGGGGAGAATTGGAACTAATAATAGTGAAGGAACTTTCAAACACATCAACTGGCAGGAACTAAGCAAACTGTCATTTAAAGCAATTGCCTATCCATTTATAGAGATTAGTAACATCACATCACAATTTTAAGAACCCAAGATACTCTTTGATTGTTTTAGTACTCATTTATTGACAGTCACTGTTGTATGTTCTCTCTCATTTTTTTTTAATTCATTTAAAGAATTCTTCGATAAAATACAGTGTGCTTTAACAAAACTTATTGTTTTCATTATAAACTTCAAAGAAGTGATTTTTATTGGAAAAGTAATTTAACTTGAGTGATTAAATATTTTGAAATTACCCATTTTTGATACTTACAATGTTTTGAAATTTCATATTTTGATACATATTTATATATGGGAAATTATTTAGAAAAGGTAAGTCATTTTACTTTTTTTAAAGTCTATATCACCTTTGATTTCCCAGTTTTTGTTTGAAGACTTTCGTTTATTTAGAAAATGCAAACATTTATATGTTTCATGTAGGTCAAATTTACATTGCATATGATTAACAGTTTCTTTATTCTGCAGGTGTTTTAAAGGTTTTAGGTCCAAGGACTATGTATATAATTGTATCAAAATTTGTATACATTTAATGAATGATTAAAGAAAAAAAATATAAAAGCCTTCAATTATGCATAATGTTATCTTAGCTTTTTAAAACTATATTTATTTATATAAATTTAAATGGTAGATGTGATCATTCTTTTATTCTTTGTCAATATTTAATTAAAATGCAGTGTTATTTGTTGTGGTCAATCAGTTGAGATTTAAAACTTTACTTGCCAGACAATTTTTTAATTAACTAACCATATGAAAGCAAATACCTGTATAGGTCATAAAATAATCAACAATTAGGTATGCCTAAGTTAAGAAATTAAATAAATTGGATTGTGGCATATTCATTAAGTATACAACTTGAAATGCTTATAGTGAAGCCTAAGAGAGAAAACAGCATCCGCAAAGGTATTGCTTGTTAACTTCTTTGTTAAAACCATTAAACCTTCACTCAGGTAGTAAAGCAGATGGTGAATAAATTTTGAATTAGTGTACATTAACACATTTTTAATTCTTATTTTTAATATTTCCTGATTGTTTTATTTCAATACTAAGTTTAAGATAGTTCCCTTTCAAAAATTTAATTTGAAATTTCAGTCTACCACTTTTTTATGTCTATGTTTTCTTTTTGTTTGACTGACAAGTTGTTTTTTATCTACTTAGCTTTGTATATATGACTATTCCATTTTTAATATATAAAATACTGAACCGCTTTCCTCCATACATATTTAACTCCGGAGTGTCATAAGGCTACAGTTAGTTTTTTTTTTTAATTAACACATAGTGTTTACTAAATTGTGTGTCTGTGTAGTAATTTATAGTACATATCACGTAAAGGGGAGACCATTGTTATCGTAAAAAAATAAAACGCGCGGCGCAGCACTTTAACTGCATACCAATAATGGACTTTGCTCACACCAATGACGTAATTTTATTCAAATCAGTTGTCACATGTTTACATTTGATTGCAAAAAAGAGTTTTTAATTTTATTTTTAACCAACAACTAAAACCTTTTTTTGCTAGAGGACTGTTTCCATCTAAATGTATATTTGGATGAATCCGAATATTGCTTGCGATATTTGGTACTTCAATAATTAGATACTGAAAATCCAATCATGATTAGTTTCTTAGATTTTTATCTGATTGTATTTGATGATAATAACTAACGATAAAATAAATAAGGTCATTGACCACAGATATCTATTTGATCACAATTAAACAAAAGCTCTTTGTTGCACTTTCCTTTGTTATATTGCTAAAATATCATGTATCTGTACTAAATTACAAAATTGTGTCTAATTTCTAACTAGATGACTATAAGGCACTCTTTATGGTTTATACCTCGTTTTATGCCTTTTTAATTAATTTAGTAAAAAAATTTTGTGCAAATTCGAAAGTAACGTCATAAAGAAAAAAAGTAGTTTTTGGTTGTTTATTATTTTTTCAAATTTGCTATGTCGTAATTAATGTTTAAAGTTTCGTAAAATTTTGTTTTAATATACGATAATATATGTAGGAACCATCTATTTTGGTCTTAAGTTTGCATAACATATAAGATTGTCTCAGTCGTTCCGAAATTCCTCCTACGTGCTTTGTATCGCGTAAGCTCCAGCAATGACGTCATAGTACATCTGTGCCCTCGCTCCGAATCGACATTTAGGGACAAGACAATGCATTGGTAATGTCCCGCAAATAATGAATCATTGTTGTAGAAACGGAAGTGAATACTCCGTTGTTTACTTGTTTATCGTACTGTTTAAACAGCTTTTTAAAATCAGGTTGAATATGTTGATCGTATTGTTCTAGAATTTCATTCAATTTGCACGTAATCAATAAATGCGCAGTTGCATCAAGCGGGATCAAAACTGGGCATTAGGACAAAATCCGTAAGGCTAACAGCTTTCCAAAACTCAAACATAACTATGACGAGATAAATAAATGAATAGATAAATGTTTACTAACAATACTTTGTCGCACTCGGAGTTGCACAGGAATGATTAATTAAATCTCCACTAAGTATATTCCTTAGTAACGAATGGTGGTGTAACTTTGAATGCAATAGTAAGGAACTTATACGTTTATACTAATATTATAAAGGAGAAATATTTGTATTTTTGTATTTATTAAAATAACTAATCGACCGATTTTAAAAATTCTTTCACCGTTATAAAGATAATTTATCTACGAGTACAGGCAATGTTTTTTAATTTCACTCCGACGAAGTCACGAGCACCAACTAGTAATTTGTTATGATATAGGGATCTAGTATATTATGTAGATATGGGGATAGAAATACGCAGAAGCATATCACATTTTGCGGTTTTTACAATAAGCAATTGATGTTAAATGAGCATTGATCATTGTGATAACAAAAGACAAACCTCACGACCACATAATATTACTTTGAACTATTTTACTTTAAACACGATATTTGCTAGAATATACTTGAAACTACCGACTTGGTATTCAACAAAACACTAAGAAATATATAAAGCTTAAAAAACCGCTATTTGAGTGTAACGTAGGCTATATATTTTATTCACTTGTCTAATTTATTCAGAGTACAATAAACGTTCAACAAATAAAATCAAACATTTAAAATCCCCAAGCAGTGGAAGCCTATCATATAGCATGAGAATACTACCTTGTTATATATATATAATATATATTATATATATAACAAGGTAGTATTTACTTGTACTCTATTTACTTTCTTATGACGATAAAATTTTGTTGCATGATTCGCTATTGCTAAAAATCTTGCCTTCCATCTAAATGTAGAAAGTGACCTGGATATTTGTTGAGTCCTAGATCGTCTGCGGATACAGCTGTCTAGAGATGAACTGCCTGACGGCCGTTATGTTACGAGGTCTTAAGACGTTACCTTACTTTCAGTGGCTCTATTAACAATTAAACCTTATTCGGACTGGAGTTGCTGTTATATGGGTTATCCTTAGTTTCTTAAATAATTACTATATGTTCGTTATTATTTTGATGTACATTTGATGTCATAGTCTATACTATTATAATAAAGCGTATACACACTTTTTTGTTGCCTAAAATGTCAGCAATTACAGCATTTTTTGATAATTATTTTTTTAATAAAAAGCTCTACGCTTACGTCACGCATTATGCTTTATATTTTCACGCCATTAAACTTAGGGGGTAAATATTTTGGATAAAAACCCTAAGTGGGAAAGATACCCTAAGTTGCTGCCAACATCAAGGAAGCAAGGTTACCATCATTTGTCTTCATGTCATGTCATTTTGATATTTGAAATTGAAAACTTGAGACATGTAAACAATAAAGTAAAATTTTTATGATTTTATGCGGATGAAGTCGAATGGGGATAGCTAGTTAAATATAAAAAGTATATCACATTGTGGAATGAAATGTCTTATTACCAACCATCTAAATTCACTTCTAAAACACCTATAAGTAGATACCTATTTGGCGTGTACATGTGCGTTTTATAACAGACTTTATTCGTTATTTTAATTAATTTGTAGTCCCAGAATAGCACTACTACTACGCTACGATTGTAAAGCCTTGACCTAGTTCTAGCTAGTATTGCGTCAGGTTAGGGAACCGTACTATGTTTCGTATGTGTGGAAAAAATTACATGGATTTAAAAAACGGAAAAGAATTTCCTAGAGCAGGCGCACACTTCTGACTAAACTATCGCACAATTGTTGTGCGATTGCGGATGTTTCGCAGCCCATATAAATGTTAGGTTGCAGAACTGAAAATCGAGTCGTGTGCGCACGTCCATATACGGTCACGGGAATCAAAACGGACTAAACGGTTGTGCGATAGTTTAGTCTATGTGCGCGCTCTTAGAATAATGATTTATTACCAAGCGAGAAATATTCATTGCATTCGATCGTAACAATGGAGCTACACGATTTCTGAACACAAATCATAATATTGTCGATATAAATAATGATATCGGCCTTAGTTGACATGGTTACCTTAAGTTACGGCCTTGTTTACTTAAGTAATTTAACGAATTGAATCTGCCCTTGAAATCAAACGCCCTCATGTTTTGTTTATTCCACGCACATACTTCATTATTTTATCCAGTCTCCAGTATTGATAACCACATTTAACATGAGTGTTTCAACGCCATGTGGTTGTCAAATCCCAAATGTCCATTTTTTTTAAGACAACTGCAATGTTTTCTAACATTTTGCCCGTTGTTTAATTAATTTTAATTATAAAAACAAAGTTTTGTATCGGCTTGCGTCAATACTGATATCTGTTTTTTTGTATTGGTGTCAATTATCAACGTGTTTTGTTTTAACTGTCGTGTTTTCACGTGATGGTTGTGCAAGCAGTCAGATGGGTTACAGAAGTGGTGATAACAAAAGAAAATGTACCCGCTTACCTTGAGGGCCACTCGACACGCATCCCATTGACCGAGAATCTTGAGTGCCCCCTACATCATGTGTACTAAGATACAATTAGATAAAGTAATAGTCATAAGAAAAACAACAATCGAAATCGTAAAACAATAAATTTTTACTCATACTATCACCAAAAACTATGGGTGTCTAGGTTGTTCACTACTAGTGCTTAAAACATGCTTGTCATGTAGTCAGAACCTTTCTATGTTATAATGAGGAAAGATTTGTATTTTCGTTTGCGTGAAATAACTGAATAACTAATCATGCGATTTCAAAAAATCTTTCACCATTAAAAAGCTACGTTATTAGTGAGTAATATTGGCTGTAGCTTTTTATTATTTTATAATTTCACGCAGACGTAGTCACGAGCAACTACTAGTCTATTATATTTTTGGAAAATTAGGTGATTTTTTCTGGGTTCAAGGTCCAATGTTGCCTTAACAGCCTTGTGAGATCTAAATATATCCGAACTAACTCCTTTAGTCTTTCTAAGATTGTTCTACGGTAAAGATGGGCAATAAAATCGGGTATCTACTATAACTTTGATGGTTATGAGCGACGATGATGACCAAACATTAGATGATTTAAACAAATATCTTTTAATTATGACTAACATTGTCTTTTTAAGTCGAACATTTTGGATGGTATTGTCATGACGGCGTATCGATTTATCATTAGGTGAATGGCCTCGTTGTCTTGTTAAGTAACAAATTATACGTAAACAGAATTGTTTGAAATACGAATACGTGATTTTCGTGAAGCCCAGAAAGATGTATTTATTTTTTAGCCAATCCTATTTTTATACATTGGTCTTTTAATTTGAAGTTAGCTGAACGAGTTATTAACTTTCAAAATTATACCAACATTTTACTTATCATTTTTAACCAACTTCCCAAACGAAGGAATTTGATGCATACGTTTCTTGTAATTCTTCCCAGTATCATCAGTGTTATTTCAAACATAGGTCTGTGTATATCGAATTCGTTTTTGACTTATGCCACGCCATTCTACATGGAAAGTTTTTGATGTCGCAAAAAACACAACAAAAACTTGTACCGCGTATCATAACATGTTCTTAGTCGGGTTGGAAAGAAGTTTTTACACTCTTATGCATTCTCCCAGATGTGTACCACTTTTTAAGTGAAGAGAATGTAAAATTATGTAGATTAATATGCATTTTTATATGTATATTTGTAACCCAATAAATTTATAATACTGTCCAGTGTTGCGGGAAGTCCCGAATTCCTTCCAATTCATCTAATTATTTAGCCCTTGTTTTAGAAAATGAAATTTTTGTTGATTATCGATGGAATAGCATTCACATCAAATTATTTTCATTGTTACTACGTAATTACAAAATGTCTAAAAACAAAGCAAACAAACATGTAGGTGTTAACCAACAACTTAACACAGTTGACTTTGTTGCTTATTCTTTGTTGTTTGTCAAGAGAAACTCAAACGATTGCGTTTTCTCTTTTTTCTACAAATACATGATTGACATTCTCTTGTTTTGTCTGAAAAAATAAATTATTAATAACATGTTTTTGTAGAGGTTTTTTCGATAATGGATGCTAACAGCGTAAAAGCTCGATGCCAATAGTTCTCGCGTTAAATCCAATCATGTACAACTGTCATGTGATATGTACTGATCAAACAAATTAAAAACTCAGGAAAAATAGTAGGTAAACGATTGAAGGTTGAATTTCCGTATTCTAAAAATGTTCAATGTCTTTATAGTGTGGTAGGAATCTTGGCACCAGCCCATCCTCAGTTTTTGTCGTTTGGTGTGATTTGGACATTATCAAAATAATTACAACTGTTTTAACAATACTTTAAGAGTTAACGTTAACGTTTATTTTATTTCCTAGCGTATATTAATTATCATGTAAAATTCATCTCTTTGCATGTTGAATGTCTCGTATCCTTTTTGTTTAGGATTTAGATAAAAATAAACTTTATGCAATTTAGTCCATCTTAGAATTTTGTTAATCAACTTCTTTTAAGCAAATTCATATCTAGTGTTAAATTGGTATTACGTTACTGCCTTTTATTAGATTAATACAAAGCATCCACTTTCGAAAAATACTGAAGTGAATACAAAAATATAGGCAATGCTTATTTCTGTATCCCATATCTAATTTAATCTTAATCTCTACTTATTGCATTATTTGGTTTTTAAAGTTTAAAAATAACCTTCAAAAATGACATTTTAGCTCCATGATTCTCAGAGAAATCGTAATTGGTCTAAGCACGATGCAATATTTCTGCTCTTGATTTTATGTTTTTGTGAAATGTGTTCCAAATTAGTGAACACGCGCTTAAATAATACGTGGAAACTCCTATGTATAGAATACTTAGAATATGTCAAAAATTATGTCACGGGACGCTTTACCTCAAAAATTTTTAGTTCGTTGATATTTTTTTAAGTCTACACTATCAAAGTTATTTATACAATTTGCAGCTGTGTTCTAGATAAGCTCTGCTTTGGAAGCAAAGATAGATACGCCCGTCTAAATCTGGAGATTCTTGACTGAATCCCGATCGTATTCAATGATTTTCGGAGTTTGTAGACATTTTTACTATAAAGTGTTCTATATTTACTCGTGCATCATATTGACTTCGTAAGTGAACTATTGCTTCCACTTTCTCGTTTTCTATTGACTGATTTCTGATGGTATACTGTACGGGGTCAAACATTCACACTGTTATTAATTTAAGTGCATGTTTTTCTTTGTCACGTACCTTTTTAAATGTTGTGTCTATAAGAAATATCTGGTTATTTACCATTAAACATTTTTTAGTTTTGTTAAGTAAAACTGTTTTGGTTTATTTTCTGTAGGTACATTTAATAATAATTTTGTTTGCACAAGTGTTTGCCATAGGACGTACTGTGTACAGGTACATTTGTCATTCAAATCGCAAAGTAATTTGCATTTGTACTTGACATAGCGACGGACGTGTCATTGCTCTTGGTGGTACGCGAAACCAGACGTCGGGTGTTGTGTTTTTTCTCTGCGTCGACCTCGTGGGGACGGCACGTGGTATAATCTCGCACGAAACACTCGCGTGATACCTTCCGTCTCCCTCGTGTGTGCCGCTTGGGGGTATTAGGCCGCTTTTACACGATTGACTTTCAAGTTTTTATATTCTGCAAGTTTTATTGGGAATCAAATTTCGTAACCGTCTAGAATGGTCATTTTCAAGCGTTTTGTTCTGTTACCAGTGTCTTAGGGCAACAGACGGTCGAAATTAATGTTTTACTAATTAAAGTGACATTTGTTTTTCATTTTTTTACAATTTAAAATGGTTATCATCTTAGGTCCTTGTGTATAATGTCGAAGAGATAAAAAATACGAAAATGTAAAAGCAACAACAATGTGATGGTTAGTCATCACGCGACCTTATTTCTGTACACGAATTAAATTGTTTTGTAAAAGTTTTAATTTGTTGGAGTCTTAACAATGAATCAGATCATGGGATTGTAGTGGCTGTAATTAAATCGCGTGGCCATTAATAACGCTTCGGTATGTCATATTCAGTTATTGGTGTCACCAATTGAAATTGATGATGGATGTTTTATAACTGATTTTAACGATAGGGGGTAGACATAAATAGAACTCGCTACGACATCGAGTAACATAAACTCATGTAAATTATGAGTTTCGATAACAATAATGTGTTTTTAAAGTCAAACTTGTTTCGATAAGTGGGTACAATATCAAGGACTTGTCATGTTTTAACATATTGTAAGAATAAAAAATTTGCACTTATATTATTCAAGTTTTTATGCTTATTTGATCTCTAAACGAATTTAAAAATTTATTGCACTTAATATGTGTAGTGGTTAGAAGTTGCCTTTCTATGCGGTTATCACTTAACTGTCATATGACTGATAAATCGTGTTGGTGCCAATTGTATAGATTGGGTATGAGTGCATGTTTGTTTATACTCGTCTTGCCCTTTGTGCAACCACGTGATGTTAATATCCCATTAAATAACTAATTAACTCGCTACCGTAACATGTCGTCGTTTTCTGAAATCTACTGATAATTGAGTCTTTTGTGTCATTAATATACTACGTTAAATAATTATTTTTACCCCATTTCAGAAGGGGACTGTTTTTATTTGTGACTTAAAAGTCGCAACACAACAAAGTTTTAAAAAACTAAACTACTAAACCGATTTAAACGATTGAAGTCTGATTGTATATATGCTTAAGTAGAGTTTATTTATTTTTTTAATTATACATTTATTTGTTTTGCCTATTGTTCCAGGCGCGTAGGTGACAAAGGCTGAATATGACGGTGGAGAAGAGTAAAGGTTCGATACAGAAGTTGCCGCCGGCCACGAGGAAGGTCGCGCCAGATGGCGGCTGGGCATGGATGGTATGCCTGGGAGTCAGCTTAGTCAATGTAAGTTGAAAGCTGTTTAGTTGTCCCTGTTAAAAGATTCCAGCAATCACGATTCAAACCTTTTAAGATCTAACGAAAAATTATGCTTGAAACTTAACATGAAATTTGTTTGTCATACATAAAGCAAAACAAATTTGCCTGACATTCAAGGAATTTGTTATTTCCGGGTAAGCGAAATGTAATTAATAAATCTAGGCCAAATCTATCTGCATAACAAACTGCTAATAACATTGTTGCTGTCAGAGATATGTATATATTAATTGACATGTACTCCTCATGAAAATACAGAGGCGACTCATCGCCTTCTCTTTCTCTCAAGAGTATTATCAGAAATAATTATTTATTTATTATCACAAGATTAAAGGGGTATTTGAGTTTATATTTATTTATCATAGATTAGCCAATTCTAAGGAATGCAACGAAGTGCATTGTCAATAATCTGTGGCTTGCGCAATATCGGTCTCTTCAATCGCTCACATGATGTTGCGTGCAGTTCCGTGCGCACTGCCTGATATAAATGATAACTGCAGTTTAATTCATTCACCGTGTTATACTAAACATACAATATACAAAGTTGATAGAAAAAGTCTTATTAAAAATCTCCATCTGACTTAATTATTCATCTGAGTCACTTTACTTTTATGGTCTTATATAGTCTGTTTTATGTAGCATGTAAAACATTGCTGCATTATAGATTCTTCAATGTCAATGAAAATTATGTATTTTTTTTCTAATTGAGATAAAAGCAATTTCTTTTCACCAAGTACATGTTTTTTTTAGTGATTAAGACAATGTTTAATTATTTGATCTTTACCGAATAACTTTAAATTTCATTGGACCTAGAATGGTTCCTTGAGTTATACTATGTTGTACGTTTTTGTTAAAAAATATTTTAAACACTATTGATTTTATTTAAGCTGTGTGTTCTAACACATATTGTGTTTGGTTTACATTGTAATGTTACTATTGTGCAATGCATTATCAATCTAGTCATTGCCTTCAAGTGAAATTAAAAGCGAGAACAATAACGATTGCTTGTCGAGTCACATGCTCCTCTGCGGTTTCTCTAGGGATGCCGCTACCCTATATTATCTTAGGATTAAAAAATACTTTCCCAAATGTATCGTGAACCTTAAACACGGTTTTTTGATAAACTTCCGAATATAGGAATCACTTGTAAGTGGCTAGAGGCCATGGAGTATTTTTTTTTGTAAGTTATTTGTATGATGTTATTGCAAATAACAATAATTCACATACAAAATCACCATTTTGTTGTAATCTAGTTGAGATAGAAACATGCGCATATTTAAGGTTTGTGGACAGCCCTAGGTCTACAATTAAAGTTCAATACAATTATTGGTTCGCGCAATACTGCATTACAACGAGCAATCAATGTAATGTGTAATCAGTTTTATTTACTTGTACACATGTCGTGCGCCCTAATCAAGATAGCTTGAATTATTTGTAGTGATGTTTATATAAACTTATTTGAAATCAAAGTATGATAAAAAATCTCTTATAATAATAAAGATGTCAATATAAAGTCAAGGTTTCGATTTTATGTTGTTTTTGCATTTAGTCCTCTTAGTTTTTTGTACTCGATACGTGTTTATTTACTGTCTTGACTAAGTAGCGTCATTTCATATGTTTTACAATTTTAGGGCCTAACCCACCACTGGTTGAAAAAGGCCCAGATAGGTAACAAAATCCGATATTACTATCTACTACATTTTACACGTTGGATTGTTAATCAGACGATTTTCAATTTGGTGGGACAGGCCCTTAGAGTTTTAAACCTACCACAATTCGTGTACTTGAGTAAAATACCATTAAAACTTTCCATTACAATCGGATTGACGGCATCCGGTGAAACGTGATGGCTGTAAAAATACATTTTTATCGCGAATTTATTTTACGAGATGTTACTTATTTGGTTATCGTTAAAGCATCTTTACTTATTAATTTTAAACATAATATAAAATGCATAATATAACAAAGTTTAAATGTGAACTAAAGGTATATTCATCATTGCTGATGCGATAAGGAAAAAAATAAAATGTTTTTTATGTTTTGCAAATGCACGGAAACTGCACTTTGAATACGATTTCTTCTGAAGCATTTTTCCCTATTTGTCGAGTTCATGAAGATGAGATATAGGAAACGCAGTTTGTCTTAAGAACCTAAATAAGTAATTGCCTATCATCACAAATATACACAACACTAGGGTAATTGATTAGGCATATAACACAGTACCGATAAAGAGAATTGGAAGCAATCATCTCACTTTCTTCGAAAGACAGAGAGCTCGTTTTTAGAATCAGAGTAGCAGATATAGTTATTGAAAGAATTTATATATTGTTTCAGTTTTCAACACGTTCCCTGGAGCCGTCTTTTGGTCTCCTGTTCAAAGACTTACTTGATGACTTGGGTGTGCATACGACGGGAGCCTCCGTCATCGCCAGTACCTTGGATTCGGTTGTCAACTTTTCCGGCTTCTTCGTAGGCCCTGTGATAAAGACCTTTTCGTATAGGAAGGTCTGTTTTGTTGGCTCTACGATATGTGCCCTAGGACTGCTGTTCACGGCTCCGGCGAACAGCATGGGTCATATCATAGCAACGTATAGTATATTAGGAGGTGAGTTAAAATTTTATTTTGTAAGAATTAGTATATAGAAAGAAAAGTGACAGATTTTTTTGTGCTATTAATTCAAATTAGTACATCTTACTTCTTATTATATTATTAGTGCGAAAGTTTAGATGGATGAATGCATGTTTGTTATAATTTGTGGCCTAAACTGCTGAACGGATCTCGATGGAATTTGACATAGATGTAGAGGATAGTCTGGAAGAACACATAGGCTATTTGGTTTTTTTTTAATTTTACGGGCGAAAGCTAGTTCTTAAATCAAAGTAAATTCAAGTCGATACTACAGCAAAAATCTATTATAAAAGTGTTATCTAATCTCGAGATTGTATAGAAAGGGATAAGCCAGGCTTTATGCATGATTGGGTGAGTTCGATCGAAGCTAATTTGTTTGATGCGTGAAAACTCTGTATTTCAGTTATATTCTACATTGTTCCCGTACATATATGTTCATTTTTATCAAAACATTATTATCTTTTACTAGAAGTAAACAATCATATTGTAATGAATGCTTAAAAGTATTTTATTTACGTATTTTAATATGAGATCAGTTTTTCCTTTTAGTTCAGTCTGGCTTCAGATGAAAAAATACATTAAAAAGATAATGCATTGTAGGTGTTTAAAACAATTACATATAGCCGTAATTCGTAACGCGAAGTTAATTTGCTATAGCTTTGACGTCATGGATGTTTCTGACTGAACGGAAATTTATTACTTAACTTTGCATATGCCGATATTGCATAACATTAAATCGCTAGGTTCTATTTTAAAATAGATGATGGGTCAATAAACTGTTTTTATTGTATACCATATGATTACTTTATTCATGTTAGTTATAAATTTTGATTTAATACCGGAGTCCTATTTTTAGTCCCTTTTTCTTTACTAACCTTTTCTTGTAAGGAGAGGATGGGAAGAGGAAGTGGATTTGACGGTAGAGGAGATGCATAGGAAGGGGAAATATCCTCTTTATGTGAGTCCTCCTCCTTCGTCGGTTAAGGGTAGGCAACGCATTTGCAATTGCGGATATTACATTGTTTATGTTTTAAAAATTAAATGTAACTCTATGAAAGCATCGTTATCAAATAAAACTGAAAATAATTTGCATATTTACATATTGAATATTTGTATATATTTTTTCGTATTTTGATTTATATCAATATTACATATTCACTTTATGAAATCTATCATTTAAAAACTTCACCAAGGAACAGTATGTAAACACTATGTTTATATAGACAAGATACATATACCGGAAACCTTACCCAGTGATAAATATTCAACGTAAACGACTACACGATGAGTTAATTCTTACTTAGACATTTACAACAGTACTAAGTACAAACTAAGCACTAATATTGCTTCATTGTCTTAGAAAATAATTGTAGTTACTTACATAAGAAAATTAATTAATAAACGGTATACGTTATTTATTGATATACGTTCTCTTGAATAGGTTAGATTTAAAATAGAGACAATATTCACGTAGAAAAATATAATTTATGTATGGAAGTTACTATATTTCTTTGAAAAAAACATAAAGGGCATCAAGGTTGCCCAGTCGATTAACATTAAAAAACATTTGACCTATTTCATAAAGAAAGGTCATTATAAGGAAATTTCTGCACAGCATAAAAGCAAACAATCAGATACTTTAACGGAGGTAACTTAACAAGTTATGCTAATTGTAGTACATTTCGTTCTTTATATGGCAAGTCAATTAACACTTACATATAATAAGCGAATTGTCAAAACTTTAAAGGAATGACACTGGGTTTTTGTGAATGGAATATTTTCGAGTTGTCTTAGATATTGTTACGTCACAAGACATTTGTAATGAAACATCGTCTGGTCAAGATTGGTCATCTTACAATGGGAGATTTTAGAATATTTTAAATGCCTTGGCTTGAATTAACAAGGAACGACAAATGTAGTTTTTAAATTTTGATAATTTAACACCACAGACAGTGAGTGTTTTTGTACCATGTTCACAAGAAAAACTTAATAAAAGCGCGCTTTCCCGTTTAAAACAAATTAGGAAGTAATTACCCGGTCTGTTTGCGTGACTGTTTTAATGTCGCTCGTTATTACTGACGCAGAGCGATCATTACAAATTGTTTCACGCCCTTGTTAAGTGACACTGAAGGATTATGAATTATTTAACGACAACAATAAACGCTATATTTTTACTCTGTTCTGTCATGTAATTTATTATTTTACTGGCTGATGGTGACTTTGGTAATTAAAAAAAAATACTGAGAAGTCTACCTATTCCAGACTTTAATATAACTCTGTTCCAAATTTCTACACTCTCGGGCCATTCTGGATTTACGTGATAACAGTCGTATATCTATTTAAATTTATTTATATTTGATAATAACAATATATTATATAATATTTGTTAAGATAAGCATAACTCTGGGTGGTTTTGTTAATCGGAACTTTGTGCACTGCAAGTAAAGGTTATTCATCTGCGTCTTTCGCTCACTTAACAGGAAAATCAGTAAATAATGTAAATAGGTTATTTATACTTAAGAGTATATTAAAATAATATTGTTATTTGTATATTGACAGTTATAACAATCTCAGAGATGCATCATTGTTAATAATAAGAATCCTTACAAAATTGTTATTTTTGATTATGTTACTTTACTTTTTGGTAAGCACATTTTCATATTTAAAATTTTTCCGCTTCTGTTTTCAGGTTTCGGAGTTGGATTGGCCTCATCATCATCATTCGTGTCTCTTAACCATTATTTCTCGAAGAAAAGAGGTCAGGCAGTGGGATTGTCTATGGCTGGTACTGGGTTTGGCTTGATGGTGATGCCCCAGCTGGTTAAACTGTTGCTAGGGGAGTACGGCTTCAGATGGACTGTGGTTATCCTGGGTGCGTTAGCATTCCACGCAGTTCTAGGCTCATGTCTCTTGCAGCCTGTTAAGAGGCACCTTATTGATGAACCGTTGGACTGCGAAATGCAACAAGTGAAGGTTTGTCTAAACTATTAAGAATTATTTTCTTATTGTCGCACTATCTTTATATAGTTACAGGGGGGTTTTAGTATATTTTTAATGTATTAATTTTAATTCCTTTAATAGAATTTGTAGAGTTTCATCTATACTAATATTATAAAGAGAAAAAAAATTGTATTTTTGTATATATTGAAATCACTCAACGAGTACTGGGCCGATTTCAAAAATTTTTACACTTCACACAGTAACATACACTATCTCTTTCACTATTTTTTTAAAACGCGGGCGAAGTAGGCAGCAACAGCTAGTTATATATAAAGGGAAATTATTTCAGTATATGTTTGCGTAAATGTAAGATCAACACCACCTTATCAGTTAGCAGAACCAGAGTTATCGGAACTGCACAGTTTCCCTTTATTTAATTACGTGAATCATTGCTTTGTTAGGTTTAACGTGACAATGATATGCAAAATTATTATATTTCTTGTTATTATTTTTCATACTAATAGCATAGTCTATGTAGGCCACTGGGTCAACAGGTTTGAGTATGAAAAATAATTTGGTAATCTGATATAGATATCCGGTTTTATCTCTAAAAGCTCTAGATGTATTTATCAATGATCAGTTTGTTGATGCGTGGAAATGATAGATTACATGCAACTTTCAAATGTTTTAGTGACTTAAATATGAGGCACTAGCTGTCGCCCGCGAATCCTTCCGCGTGGAATTAAAAAAAAACAAAACTGAGTAGCCTATGTGTTCTTCCAGACTATCTTCTACGTGAATGCCAAATTTCATTGAAATCCGTTCAGCCGTTTAAGCTACAAACTCAAACAAACATCCATCCATCTGAATTTTCATTTATAATATTAGTATAAGTACGATTTACTTTGATAAAACTGCATATCTTGTCCGATGATTTGTAATCAATTTAGAGTATATTTAAATCAATTTTTGTCAATTCTTTGATAAAATATTCAAGGCTAAATCGCCAGTCATCATCTCTCATTTGCACGTTTATGTTAATCGTTGTTCAAATAATAAATATTAGGTATCCTAATATAATATGAATTTTAAAAGGTATATGATTACTTTTGTGGTTACTAGGGGCGTATTTAGAACCAACTCGAAATTACAAATGCAACTACATAATGCCAATTAAGAGAACTGAGTACCTTTTGTTTTTATGATGACATTTCTAACATTAAAAAGAAGATTGATTCGAAATTATCAAGTAAAAAGAAAACTTTTTTTTCAGGAGATGGAATGCATTCACGAAAGCGACGAAGAAGAGGAGGATAAATTCGAAATCAATCCACTTGTCAGTCATCCAATGCCAAAATTAACCACACAACGATCTCATACAAACATGAACCATCCGTCAGTCCGTACGATAGGGTTGCCACGAGCGAAGACGTGTGATAAACCTCTGCAGGAGTTCGAGAAGAACGCAGCCCTAGGCCTAGGGTTGACGACCGCCGCCTCAGTGGCCGCCATGCAGAGGGTCACCTCTAGTGGAAGTATGAGTGAAGCGGCGAGGAAGAGAAAGTTTTCGGTTATTTCGAATATTTCGAATATGGACTTCACCGGCAGTTATTTACAATTGTATCTGGATGTAAGTATTACTTTAGATTTCTACTGAAAATAGATACTTACGATAATAATTTTATAAGGAAAGATTTGATTGTTTGCATTGAAGACTACGAAATTAAACTGATTTTAAAAACTCTTTTGCCATTACGAAACTGTATTATAACTAAAATAGGTTATATTTTAAGTCAACGGGAAGGTCATGGATATGCCAGAAAATACATAAACGGTATATTTGGTACCCAGACGAAGCTGAGTATCGCTTTTATACTAGTAAAGTTTGAAATAACTAAATTTATACCTCGTTACTAGTGAATTGGAGGTCAATGATTATTAAGTCACTCTGTAAAAAAATACATACACGAAATAAATACCACTAACATTTTTTTTTGCATGTTTCTGAAATGTTTATTCATCTGTCAAAATAGAAGATTTTTTACGTGTATTGGTGGTAGACATGATACATTTTTTAAAATGTCAGTTTTGTTTTTCCAGACCGCCGACGATGATGCGATTCAAATGAAAGCGATAAAGAAAGCGGAGCCCGAACAAGAGAAGAAGAAAGGCTTCCTAAGAAAGTTCATAGCGCTAATGGATCTAGATCTCCTAAAAGACTGGTCTTTTTTGAATCTTCTACTCGGTCTATCGCTCTTTTGGAGCGGTGAACTGCAATTCAGAATGTTAACGCCATTTTTTATTAGAAGTTTAGGTTATAATATGAACGAAACTGCGTTCTGTTTGTCTATGACGGCTATCACTGATATCCTTGTTAGATTGATTTTGCCGCCGATTTTTGATAGGACTTCGATCTCGAAGAAAATGATATTTTTTATATCTGCATTCTTCCTCGCTGCTACGAGATCAGGTGAGTTGATAAACAAAAAAGTTAATAACTTGCAAAAATGTTTTCGTTAAAAATAATCCGCCCCTAGTTTCACTTCGAATTGTTCAGCAGAGGCGTTTTTTTTAATAATTAGTATTATTAAAAAAAAATATTATATATTCAGAATATAAGGGCTATATAAAATAAAAATATTAGTATATAGCCCTTATATTCTGAAATTATTCAAATAACTATAGTTGAATATGCATAAAGTTCACAATATGTCTCTAATTTCAGTGTGCCTCTTGGCATAGGCCTTCTAAACATTTCCATTGAGTTCTGAGTGGCAATTCTCCTCCAATGTTTTTTAAACAATGTTAAATTTCTGAAAAAAGTTGCATTTCATAAAAGATAATTTTTTTTCCTAAATACTGTTTTTTTAATATCCAGTGTTAGCTGAACAAAGCGAGTGGGTGCCGTTAATGGTGTGGCTGTCGATCTGCGGGTTCTTCAGAGGTATGTGCCTCAGCAACTTCACGCTGACCATCTCCGAGTACTGTCCGCTGGAGAAGCTGCCCGCAGCCTTCGGCCTGCACATGGTCAGCAAGGGCGTCTTCGTTGTCATCATCGGACCTGTTATTGGTAATAAACAATTTGGAATGCCCTGGCCAAGAGATGGCGTTAGTAGTATTGACAAACACTAGTGCCCTGACCAATAGATGGCGCTTGTAGTATTAACATACACATACAATGTATTCCGATGAATAATTTAAAAAAGCTTTTCGTTCAATTATTAGTAGTAATAGCTTAAATTAATAACAAGGCTTTTCTATACACAATTATAAGTCTTTTCGTTGACAGGATAGCGACTCTTAGAATATTTTCCTTCAATGAATGCTTATTCTCAGTAAAAAATGTGTTGAAATTAATGTAATTTGTGTTTTTTACAGGTTACGTGAGGGATTACACGGGCAGTTTTGCGACGTGTATTCATGTACAGAACGCACTGATTATGTCGTGTGTGCTGGTGTGGGGCGTGGAGTACGCGCTCGCCTTCACCAGGCGTCGGAAAATTGTACAGATATAAAAAATAACGATACTCTATGGTATTCAATATTAGTTGTGTGAAACTGCAACAAAAAAAAAGTGTCGGGCATAGATTCACGAATTTACGATAGTAATTCGTAAATTAGATGTTTTCAAGTCTTACCGACACAATAAACTTTATCTTTATTTTATTTAATTATATTTGATTTATGTATTTGTCTAGTTTTTAGACGTTTTTGAAACTTAATCTGTTGTATTTAGATATAACCTTACAATTATTAAATTTCGTTTCTATCCAACTTCGATAGACAATAGTAAATAGAAAGCCAGTGTACACTAGCTACTGGCACGTGTAATGGGCATGCCAGTACTTGGCATGTAAGTAGCTATAGATTTTTAACTTAATTGGTATTTGGATTGTAACGAATGTGAAGTACATATTGATATTAGTTTTTTTTAGAATTTAATGAACTATTTCATGACATTTAGTTCTCTTTGTCTTATTTTTTTCTCAAATTAATTTTAAATATGATGACGTTTGTTGTAGGATAGTAACTTTTTCGAATAATAATCTACAAAGATTTATTACATTTTTACACGATTTTGTATTAATGTTTACTTTTTGATTGACTTATGAAATTTTTTCTCTAATTTTCTGTTTTCTATTGAACATTACTGTTATTAAAAGTTTTAATTTAGATTTATCTTACTAAACAAAATAATGCCAATATTTTAACAAAACGTAAACTTCAAATTTGTTGTTAGGTATATAGAAATTTATTTTGTTTAACTTAGTTTAGTAACCAGACTTTTATGTAGTTGTAATGCAATAAGGGCATGTTCACATGTAACATTTTTTAATCGTGAATTGTGAACGCAATTTAATTTTCTCTTTTCATATTAAGTATCATTCGGAACGTACTGGCTTCGCAATTACCAGTACCGGAATTAACTTAAGGCGAGGAAGGGACTTCGGAGGGCGCCGGATTTAAAGGGGCGCCATGGGCGCCTTTTATCATATGGATTTTTATTACAGTTAGGTAATACTGTAAAAATCTCGCCTAAGGCGCTAGTAATATTAAAACAGGCCCTGGCCATTAATCTGTGCGTAGTTGTTAAAAGTCACTAACTAGTTCACAGTTGTCGGCTGATAATACGCTTTGTGTGAACATGGCCTTAATTTGGTGTGGAGTGATAACAGCCTAGTGAGTAGGATTCTATAATAGGATGGTTAAAAATGGTGCTCGTATGTGTCGATGGGAAGTGTTTTGAAAAACAATTAGGCGATGGCTCCTACGTAAACTGTCATAAGTCAAATTTTAAGATTTCCTCCTTGTTTTATATTTTTTAAATAATTTTGATTGCCTGATTTCTCTGTAAATTTGAAACGTACGTTAGAAAGAAGAATTCTAGATTTAGTTTGTTTATCATATTTATGTTTGATGCTTAATAATCAATCTTATTAATATTTATAGTTTTGCGTTTCAAATATACGATAGTTTACGTAGGAGCCATCGTAATGTCAATGTCTTTTAAATAAAAAAGTATGTTTTTTTGTAATATTCCAGTGTTTGCAGCTATTTCAGATAGAAAAGTAACAATGATTATGCTCAAGTTTTGTTTCTGTTAATATTTTTAGTACATGATAATTCCAGTGATAATATTCACATTTTGCATTAAAATTGTACAAGAATTTGCTATAAAAATATCATGAAATCATTTCTTTAAAGAAAATAAGATAAGAACATGTTTCAAATTTGTTTTCGCAGTGGAAACGTAAATTTTGTACAAATTCTTTAGATTCTTTACACATTAGTTACTTTCGACTATTTCTAAAATATTTGTATGAATATTAGTGACTTGTAAGAAATATTTTTATACAGCTCTATCTAGTAAACTATTTAGGCATATAGGCTGTAGTTATCTGAACTGGATTAAAGGTAAATTAGAAGACTTCTTGATAGTTTAGTGTTTGTTATAAATTATTGTTATATCTGATAGTTAATGGTATTTAACAATGTAGGTCGAACAGATTTTTCACTCGTGTTAGTTTTTCAGTTGAGTATAATTTAATTGGACTAATATTAACAAAAAATTAGCTCTCCCCATTTTAGATTTTTGTTATGCCCTAGTAGATGTTACGGAAGCAATGTATTATATTTAAATCTCATAATAAAAGCGAGGTTTGGAAATAAAAAAAAAATATTTACAAACCATTTACAACGTAGGGTATCGTATAGTCGGACCAGAAATTATAAAAACCCTTGAATAGACGTAAAATCTGAAACCAATTTCATCATTAAATAGATTGAAGCCGCCATTCAGAGTTTTTATATTCTTGATTGGGCTATGTTTGCGTTTTAAAGAAATACGTGGGACGTAATGATTATCTGTACTTAACTGTATACCTTTTATGTTAAACTAGCTGTTCCCATGCGACTTCATCCACATAGAATTGTGAAAATTTTATTTTATTGTTTACATTTGTCAAATTATCAATAGTAAATATCAAAATGACATGACATGGCAAACCTTAGCAATTGGCAGCAACTTATGGTCTCTTTCCCACATTAGGGTTTTTATCCAAAATATTTACCCCTAAGTTTAACGGCGTCAAAATATATAGTCTAAAGCGTGGCGTAAGTGCTTTTTATTAAAAAAAGAGTTAGTCGAAAATATGCTGTGATTGCTGACATCTTAGGCAACAAAGAAGTGTGTGTTTACGCTTTATTATAATAGTATAGATGGGACTTAATGCATTGGTGTACTTATACAATATCGTTAAAATACTGATAAAATGTTTTAATTTTGCAAAGGTTTGTTGAGTGAATTTGAAATTCGTTGGTTTGTTAATGAAATTATGATTGTTATAATCTTTTTGTCGGCATTAACAATATTATATACTGTATATATTCTATACTTAACCTTTTACAGGTAACAATAAGTACTCTTTTCGATACTATTTCAATATGTTATCAAATTTTCCTTCAACGTGTGATTTCACACAGTCCAAAAATTCGCTATAAAAATATTGGTCGTATAATTTTAACTTATAAGTGACGTATGTTTTGTTTTTGTTTTGAATCGGAATTACAATACTTAGGGCCTGTCCCACCAAATTGTAAATTGTCTGATAACAATCCGACGTGTAAAATATATTGTGGAAATATCGGAGTTTGTTACTTTATTTGACAGTGACGTCAGTGAGCCTCTATCAGCCAGTGGTGGAATAGGCCTTTAGTATCGTGTGAAAGAAATGTATTTTGACTCTCTCTCTCTCTCTCTTCCTACTTGTCTTCCTTCCGTGGCTTCCGTAATAACTATGTAAGTCTATATTTTAAGAAATTTTGGTTTTGAACTGTTTTTTTTTTAATTCTTGTAACTATTGCATTTTCGTCTTCCAAAATCTTTGTTGTTCCATTACTGTGTAATGTAATGCAATTTTCGATATGTGATTTTTATTGACCAAATATACTAACTACTTTTGATATAAATGTATGCACTTTTATTCTAGCACAACGCAGTATTTTTATTATTTTTCAAAAACTATAAAAAAAATCTTTTTTACTATTAAAATTATCGTAATATAACTATCCGACTGTTTGTAGTAATGTATTCAATTATCGAAATGTTTGTGCCAATTGTATAACTTATATTTTGTAATCTATATACTTTAGTAGTTGTACTTAGTATATTAAAGTTGCAAACATTTACAACTGTCTTTAGATAACTTTAATATGTGCGTAGGATAGTACAATAGCTTCAAGTTATATTTCCATTAATAAATCTAATTTGAAACAATTTATAGTCTGACCAGATGTATATGGAACTGATTTCTTTGTTTACTTTAAAAAGTAATAAAAAAAACATAGTCTAATTGAGTACCTCCTTCTTTTGGGAAGTCAGTCAAAAAATACAATTGAAGCGCCTCAAAGCTGTAGTTATGATATTCTTGGTTAAACTATATTTTGTTGATTTAATATTTTGCCTTTTTAGGTCTGAAGATGACTATAAATTTATTTATATCCATGCTTACATATCAAACAAAATAGGGTTTTCTTAAAGATAATTTAGATAAAATGTAGCGTCCACTAAGCATTTGTCCTGTATATTTTAGAAGAAATACACTTGGAATGTAAGATAATAGTAATATCTAATGTTTTCCCCACTATTTCTATGGAAATAACATAGTAATTTTGATGTTTGAGTAAATTTCTTTGTAAAATAATTAATATCTCGGGTTTATTTGATAGATATATTAATACAATGCGTAGTTGATTGTTGTTTCGTATGTGCTTTGTTTATGACAATTTAATATTATCTTATTACAATGTTTATGTTTTAATTATGTATTGACATTTATTGTGATTTACAGTTGTACGATTCCTTTGTATTCGTATCCAAGATTAATACAAAAAATTATGCAATCAATTAAAATTGATATTGGTTACCGAAGTTTGAATTATTTTGATTCCCTTCTTCCTATATATATTCTTTGATATTTTAATATCGTTTTTTTTCACATGTGTATTTATTTTAATGATAATTAGTGACAAATTGATTCTAATTGAGGTAATAAAATAACTAAAAACATACAGACGAATTGAGAACCTCCTCCTTTTTGAAGTCAGGTAAAAATAGAAAAACGACAACAGTAGTAGAACCCGCTTTAATATCTTAGCACTGCAGAGCCGGCTCGCCCGGTGTAATACCACGACCACACAGAAAACAGGCGTGAAGTAGAAGCAATTTCGCGTTTCGTCTGATGAGTGTGGTGCCGGAGGCCTAATTCCAGTCCCTTTCCCTTTCCACCCTTTTCTTAAGAGGAAAGGATGGGAAGGAAAAGTGGATTTGACGGTGGAGGAGACGCATAGGAAGGGAAAATGTCCTCTTTATGTGCGTGTCCATCTCAATCAATTAAGGGTAGGCAACGCATCTGCAATTGCAGATGTTTATGGGCAGCGGTTGCTTTCCATTTCGGTAGATTCAGATGGCTGCTTGCTCGTTTTCCACTTTATATTATGAATATATATTAAAAATTTAACAATTCCTCGTTTTTGTTGAAAAAGGTAAGAGACAAATAATGGCAAGCATTTTATCAGTTTAATGCATAAGGGTCTCAAGGTAAAAAAAACAACATTCATCAACAAAATTTATAATTCTTTAAAATCTAAAATTGGCTTACAAAACATAATTTTAATGCTTATTAATATTTTTATTACACGATTAAGGAGTAAACAAAATTTATAATGCAACATATTTTCTCATGATACCAGATGCATTTTAAATATACAAAGATGTTTAGATTTCAATCTGCATATTTTGCTGCAGTCAGTATTAACACCAAATAAATAAATCGGGAATTTGCATTGCCAAAACATTTAGAACATAATATCATTCATTTCAGAGATAAGAGAAAACAAGTTTTATATGCTAAGTTACGGTTAAATGGGGTTTAAGCAAAACCCAATATGTTCAGTTTTGACAGTCGAATTGAACAGTTAAAACTGAAGGTGTGGGCTTTACAAACAAAATAAAATAAAACCCATAAATCCCACCGCACAAGAAACTTGCATTTAAAACATATTTGCTCTTTTTTTATCTAAGAATCACACAAAGAATGGGTGGACAGTAAAGCAAGTACTTGGGCAGTGGTAAACCATAGTTATACGCATTATCATATGTTCACTAAGTTCCTTTAATTGTATATTTATCTTAATTTCTATACAAATGTCTCAAAAATTTAACAAAATCTCCATAGTAACAAACTTATTACAATTGGGGCAATGTTAACGTAGAATTCCATTGCCGTGACTTTCACGTGACTAGGACGTGTCACGACATTGGAGATTTAGTCTGTGCTTTCACCTGAAACTAAACTATCGCACAACTGTTTAGATATCGCTTTGTTTTCTATGAGCATATATGGTACACTACTCAATTTTTAGTTGTACAACAAAACAGTTGAATTGGCTGCGAAAAATCGACAATCGCACAATAGTGGGCGAGACTTTAGACAAAGGTGTGCCGCATCTTAAGGTTATACGATGTTGCATCAGGAACTTGTAAAAATAATATATGCTAATATTTGTATGTATTAATTGAATATAACATTTAACACTAAGCTATATATTTTAAATGTACTGCCGCATTCAAACTCGCATAACAAGCATTAATACTGCGACAGTTAGAATATCAGTATATAATTTTAAATTATATCTATACTATACTATTATAATAAAGCGTAAACACACACTTCTTTGTGGCGTAAGATGTCAGCAATCACAGCATATTTTTGAATTACTCTTTTTTTTAATAAAAAGCCCTATACTTACGTCACGCTTTAGCCTACATGTTTCACGCTACTAAACTTAGGGGGTAAATAATATGGATAAAAACCCTAATGTGAGAAAGGGACCATAAGCTACAAGCTGCCAACATCAAGGAAGTAAGATTACAATGGTTTGTCATGTCATTTTGACATTTGCAATTGATAATTTGACAAATGTAAATGATAAAATGAATTCTTTTTATTTTCTTGCGAGTGAAGCCGCACGCGAATAGCTAGTGTTATGATGCAGAGTAATTGGATGAAATTCAGCCTCAATATGATTTACTAAACATTTTGATGATATTTCTTGCGATCGATGCATCTAGATTTAATATTAATGATTCTTATCAGTCAAATATTAATTGACCAAGATATGTTTGTCGATTTTTATAATCTTTATGTTGAATATGTTATGCTTATTATATCTAATTATTTTCGTTTCTTATAGTAGAAATTATAATAATAATACACTCTTTTAAACATTATATGGCAGTTTATCGAGGTAAGCATTTATAGGTGATGTATTTTATCGCAGTACTTTGACTTCAAGCAAATAGGACTCCATATTTATCTTTACCTTATATTAAATATTTGAGTGGCTATTTTATTGCTAAATGTCATTACTAAATTAGGCATTATACAAAACGTAAATCACAAATGTCGCTTAGTTCTTTCAAGAAATCCTTATCTTTTTTCTAATATACTCAAGATAAATTCTCAATATAATAATTCTAGGTTAGTAATAATCTGTCCCATACGTTACTTACATATAATGTCAACTATTAGGAACATTAACTGCAAATTCATCATTTATGCAAAATATGATATAATCTGCAAAAAGTTCTAATTAATGTATGACGAAATCTACTGGCCTCAATTACTTTTGCTTTTAACCTTAGTCGTAAAAAAAAAACACATTTTGTTTCTCATATGACACCTTATACATACCTAAAAACGCTGAATAAACATATTATTAAATTATTTGTACTTAATCTTATATAGACATTTAATATCGATTTTGTTTAGCTAACATTTTATATAATTCAACTAGTTTTCTTACGATATACAATATATTCTATAGACCATAGCACTACACAGATTAAACAGCATACACTCATAGCCAAGAAACAATAGAGGTAGGTGCCGGTAGCTTCGAAGATTAGACCTGAAACAAACGAGTAAAAAAGTAAAAACCATCCAAAAATCCGACTGTCTCGGAATTACGAATCGAATGGTACCAAACAGGTCAAAATTGGTTAAGACTTAGGCTTCAGTAGGTCACCAGGACTTCGTTGGGGGGAGGGACAGCTGTCCTAGATGTTCGAAAAATGTAAATTAAATATGAAACTTCGAATGAGGCAATAATAATGGTGATCACAGTTTAATTAACGTACATACAAATCTTACTAATATTATAAATGCGAAAGTTTAGCTAGAAGGATGGATGTTTGTTAGAGTTTGTAGCTTAAACGGTTGAACGGATTTCTATAAAATTTGGTATAGATGTAGAGGATAGTCTGGAAGAACACGTAGGCTACTTACTTTTGTTTTTTTAATTCCACGCGGATGGAGTGGGGGAAGCTAGTTCTACATAAAACATTTGTAATTTCCAATTATTTAAATCGTCGTTTAGGTTGTAGTCAAGCTATCGGTATTACATATCTACATATTGGTATTAATAGAATGAGTAACAAGTCTTGATGACTAAAATGATTTAATGGATTTTATTTGTTTACATTTTGATATCTTACGGTAATTAATTTCTCATTCCGTAATTATCATCGTAATTATGCGCAGATTTACGAGAATTTCATTGGCGAATGATTTTTGTTTTATTAATTTTGTATAAAATGTACTAGTACATCTATCTCCTTGAATAATCCTATATTTGTCTGTTTCTAACTAAAAAAATACACATGTTTATATTGATGTATAAAAAAAGTAATAGGTAGGTTTCACAAGCTTTTAGCTAGGCGTAGTTTTAGATAACAGCCTCACGAGTTACGAGAATCTAAATTTAGAGAAATCGAATTTTTTTTCATACTACATTCGATAGTATTTTAAAATAAAAGATTATATATGTTTCTACACTTTTATACGTTTTTTCTGAGATAAGAAACTAAAGAATGATTTACTGGATTTTAGATAGACTGAAGGTAAAATAAAATCAGAACTTTCTATAAATTCGGTTAAAAATAAAAAAAATAATTTAGTAAAATACTGTAACGCAGTATTTATTACTTTAATATTTTCTTAGCAAAGTATTTTTTAACTTACCAATTAATGGATCCGCAATAAGCATGAGGAAACCAGAGAATATGATATGTAGTGCCAACGCGGCGGGGAACCTATCCGGGGCTGCGGTCACCAGCACCAGTGGGAACAGCACTTGTACCGAGCACCTGATGAGCCCCGATATCACAGTTATGGTGAACACGTACCATATCTCACTTGAACACACCAACGCTGCAAGAAAAGACAAAACTCATCGATCCATTTACGTAGTCAAAGAAACAAATTCTATTCCCATTTACGATGGAACATCGCCAGTCGCCTAAAGAACCAACTAAATTAAAACTATTTTGCGACTCTCGATTGTTGATTGTTTCATAGCCAATTCAACTGTTTATGCACAGCTAAAAATCGAGTAGCGTGTGCACCTCCATATAGCTCAATGGAATCAAAGCGCGACTAAACAGTTGTGCGATATAACTACGTATGTTGCTATGACAAGTTATCGGCCTTTGTTATAGAAATCCTGTCACGTGTCTTCATTTCAGTACAGTATAGCAACGCTAAAGGGAAGAATCTATGACTTACAAATAAATGAAGTCGTCAATCTGGTAGAAACAAGTCAATATTCTCAGAACGAGGACTCCAAATATGATAAAAAATGTTTTTATGTGAGTGCGTCGACCGTGCTAATTTAACGGAAGCAAAATCGATAAGAATAGAAGAACATCACGAGTATATCTTATTATCCCAGGGCGGATTTGGATATAGAAATAGATAACATGTTTAATGGCTTTTAGACTCTAAATATAGATTAAGAGTAACCTTTTTAATATTAATGAAATCTTCTTGATTATATGAATTAATTTGTTAAAACTTGAGGTTAAATCGTGGATTAATTTTTATTACAGGCCGAAAATAAAGTGGAAAAGTTTAAGATGAATGAATTTATTCAGATTAGCAATTGTGACGACAATCCTAACATTTTAGATCCTCGAGGAATAGTTGTAATTATTTAAATTGAATTCTTTACATCAGCATAATGAAGCATGACGTTTACAAGCATAAGAAATTTTTTATAGCGAAATACTAGTTTTGGAAGAAAAAAGTTTTATCTTTCGTAATCACAAAGAACTTAGTATTAGAATATTTTATTATTTTTACTTACCTATTCGTAAGAATATTGTAAGGCATGTCCCACAGAAGAAAATTTTCCGACTATCGACAGTGTAGAAGTAAGTAAATATTGCCAATGAAAACCGTGCTATAAGATCGGCTATCGCTCCCACCATAACACACGTAGCAACTTGCATCTAAAACAAGAAATAGATAAGAACTTTTGAACGAATGACATTGCGAGAAAGAACATTGAACGATACTTTACTAACAATATCTGTTGATTTATTCTGACTTTGTTAAATTTTAAACAAGTTTTTACATTGATATACTAATAACTATTTACTTGGTATTTGTAACAAAGCTAGTATACTAAACTAATCTGTAATATTCATCATTTGTATTTTAATGCAATAAAACAATTTATTTCCTGTAGAATTTTTATATGAATTTATTCAAATTAGATAAGTGTTTTAGTTAACTATTAAGTTATTTAAATTAATCAAAACGACGTAGATTTGTTTAAAAGATATATTAAGGTTAAAACATTGGAGAGGATTGTTGTATTTTAATTATGTGATCAAGCTGTAGGACGCAGAGTGGCTTAATGACTACTAAAACAGTAAGCGAACATTTAAGTAACAAATAGACTCGGTTGCAGTAACTTTTACCTTTGTATATCCATAGGAAAATAACAGCATAGGCTCCATTGCTAGATATGTCACGTCAGAAACGAAAGCAAATCCCAAACCAACGAGCGTACTCACAAACCTCGGGTCTCTTAGTAAATCTAATTCCACGTTATCGTAAACAATTTTTCTGAAACAATTTTTTTTGTAAAGTTTCTCTAAGTTATCAGTTAGATGTCCATTAGCAAATTTTAGCTTTTGCCAATAACTTAAATCACTAGCTGAATTGCTTTTTCTGTACATTGATAAAACTTTAATTTATTTTAAAAATACGGTATTTCTTTTTTACAGATCACTAAAAATCATCGATTGAAATCAAAAGTCACCAAAATATGTAACACATTATCCGAAATACTGCGAAAAATGATGTCACATAAACCTGTTTGAAAGTCATTAACATAAATTACAAATAACAACCAAACTAACGTATTTAAAAAATCTAATTTATCTAAAAAGGAACTCACATGATACTTTTTTGAATGGATTCATGTCTTGTCGGCGTCGTTGCTTTAATTTCAACCACACCCTCATCACCTGGCAACATTTTGACGGTTGTTTCATCATAGCTTTCTACTTTAACAGATTTACTATCGAGGACATCACAATTTAATGGGTCTGAAAGATTACGGTGTACACAGATGATGGGTTAATAAGCAGACATCATTTGACAGAATAAAACATCACAAAGCATAGTTAATATGAATTCAAAACCCATAAACACACTAACACACTAAATCTTGAAGTATATGTTACCTGGTTTTTGGCTATCGACAGCTTTAATCATGTGCCATTCAACTGGATGCATGACTAACATAGCAAATAACAAATGAAGATCAACAGCCATGATCAGAGCGAGGCTCCACCTGAACCCGTACTCATCGAGAAGAAACGTGACTAGAATTGGAAATGTGATGGAAGCGAGACTGCTCATTGTTTGATTTGCGCTCATCATTGCTGTCCGCTTTTTGGTGAAATAACAGTTGAATGCTGTGAAACTTACTGGAATCATCACACCAAAACCTGCCCCTGTAATGTTATTAACAAATATAGTTTTCTTCACAAGTATAAAAAAAATCATCTCCTTTAAACAGAATATGAAGGGCAATCAATCATTACCTCTGATTACGCCAAAAGCGAAGACCAATTGATAAGTTCTGGTAACAAATATGGTAAGAACATCGCCCAATATGAACAATCCAGCTCCGAGTAGACCAACTTGCCGAAAGGAATATCTTTTTAATGCAATGCCACTCAGGAAACCTAAAGGGTAAAAGAAATTAAATTTCAAACAGATTTTGTGAATTAGTTAATGTATCATTAGACCACATAGTCAATTGACCAACTAAACTATCAGTTGATTAAATAATAGACCATGGTGTGGAATAAGATTTGTTACTAATCCACCGAACTATTAAGAAATCAGGCAATCAATGAATGAAAAGGAATTTAATATTATCCACGAAATGCATGAGAGAAATCATAAATATTAGGACCTATGTAAAATCGCGACACGTGGTTAGACAGAGAATTATTATGGTTAACCGCTGTCGTTACCGCATTCAGTATTAAGCAATCGTTAATTTGATATTGCTAATTTTTATTCTATTATCCATTTTTACAACGTTTTGTTTGATACAAGTTTATTTAATTAAAGTATGATGTTACAAAAATATAGGGTAAGTTTTATTTACGGAAATGAACGCTGTGCTTTATTCCCTTACAATATCGGTCAAATCAATATGAATTAATTGTCGAGAGATGCAAACTGTTTATGCGTAGGCCCTGAACGGCAATCGGTCGCTGTATCCAATGATATCTGTCTATTAACCGATTTGTATTAAGCTAATAGATTCATTGTTAATTGGGGACAGAAACTTGAGTCGAGTTTAGCGTCGCTGGTAATATGAGATTAAAATTTCACATAGCGACCGGCGGTGAAACATTAGAAGTACGTATTTTTAAGTTAACGACCTCTACGAAGCTATTTCGTAATCAATCATATTAGACTGTCTGATACTTATATTGCTGAATATACCCAAATCTATTTACAATAATTATTTTAGATGTTGACTTGCTTAGAACGAGAATTAATAATTTATTTCCCAATTACATTTAGTTAATAGCACATTTAAAGTATTTCATCAACTGAGTAATGATTATAAAATGCAGGTGTGTTTTTTTTAATTACTTGATATGAAATTCCAAATTTACATAAAAAGTCATACCCGATATAGACAAAGCTCCATTGTAAACTCCTATAACCAAAGGCAGGCCGCTAGCACCGTCTTGTTCGATAAAGAAATCGTTGAACAAAATGCCGAAAGCATTTGATGAACCAAATCCCAGCATCTGCAAACAAATATTCATCAACAATAACATTAACAGAGTATTCAGAGTATTCACATTGGGTACTATGGCATTTCTTAGCGTACTAACCAAGTGTCTGGAAATACTCTTGTATTAATATTGGAAATACATAACTTAACAAAAAAACAAAAAGTCTGTATCTTTCTATCATTAATTATGATATTTCAGTAAATACAGAATTTAAAAAGTGAATGTATTTAATATCGTAATATACAGCTTCTTGTAAATTTTCGGCCATTTTAATCTGTTTATTTAACCAATAATATTATGCTAAGGTCATCTTGAAAACCTGTAAAATACGTGTATAGATTGGATAAGATTTTTAATTGACCTTAAAATATTTCTTGATGTTTATATGTACATACATGTCTTGATTAAAAAACAAGAACGATGGAATAAAATCATAGAAAATTATTGTGTAATGTTTACTCAAAACAAAAGTTACAAAATGCAAACTAAAGATATGCCGCTTTGTAAGATTTGACATTTGTTGTCGTAGTAGTAACAGTCAACAGCTCATACGAGTACAAGTAAAATTAAAAAGTCGATGTTCGGAAAAAAAATCTCCTCATTATAAATTTCTACCAAAAATTTTTCACTAAATCTTAAAATTCCAACATAAAATTAATAATAATATTAATATAATATCACGCCACCCAATAGTTATATTTAATTACTAATAAATTGTATTAAATTATATAACCGCGCGTGCCAAATATATTATCTTTTTCTGACATCTTCTATTTATGTTAATTATACGATTTCGCGTCCGTGAGAATTTTCCAGTTCAACAGTTTATTCATATGATTACTTATAATATATATTACTGAGGCCACAGCATACACTAATACCTATTTTATTAACAACCTCTCTAGCTTGTAAAAATTATTTGTAAAATCAAGAAGAAAGGAAAGAAATAAACTTAAATGGAAGAATACGAACAACATTACCGGCCAGCCCGATCAGTGCAGTACACCTCGATAATAAGGAAGAGATGATAAAGGGATTTGTTAGGTAAGGGGAAGGACAATCCCCTCAGTAACAGAACATTAGAAAACGCATCTTTAAACTTTTTTCGTATGAAAATGTAGATTTTTATTTTCGTGATTTGCTAAGAACTTTTCTACTATAAAAGCTTTTTTCACCGAGTGGCATAAGGCATAAGGATGTTTAAAAGTATCAGGTCTCATTTATAGGTTTCATTGTCACTTTCTGTAGCTTAAAGCTTAGTTCTCACAGCCTATACTTAATTCATTGTTAATTTATACCACAATTTAAAAAATAACAAAATCTGGCTAGCACGCGATCAGTTAACCGTTCAAAACTGGTTTAGCACGCGTTTTGAAAAAATGCTAAACATCGTAAATATGTATTTTATGGTTATTAAGGAGTTGCGATAAATTTACTGCATCAATTATGAATTAAAAAAAATACGCTTACATAATTTCGATAACTAAATCCTGTCTCATTTTGTTAGACCGTTATTAGGTTTTATCTATTAGGAAACACTATTAAGCAGAATTTACATACGTCGCCTTCCGGGAACAAAGCCTGGTAGACATACCATTATGCTAAGAATGTAGAGTTGCAATACCATTTGAATAAATTTATAATTCTTTTTAAATTCTCATGAAATCTTAAAATTAAAAATTAAAATTGTACGCCTAAATAATTTTGATATCAGTAAATGCAGTTTAATAAGGTAATTTGATTTTTCAATCGAGGGCTATGCGAAAAGATTTTTGAAACTGACAGTCTTATAAATTGATGAACCTCGATTGCACGGACGAAAAAGTTGACACATTGTCACCTTGTCTCTGAGCCGAGTGTGCAAGCGAGAGTACTGAACAAGTAATAGAGAGGCTTAAACGTTTGGCTTGAGACGTAACACCTTAAATTATCGTTGGTAGGCGCTAGCTTAATAAGTGCCTTGTGTTGAGAATAATGCCTTATCTTTATAATCTATACTTCTATACTATTATAATAAAGCGTAAACACACACTTCTTTGTTGCCTAAGATGTCAGTGATTACAGCATATTTTTGAATAGTTCTTTTTTTTAATAAAAAGCCATAGACTTGCGCCCCACTTTAGGCTATATATTTTCACGCCATTAAACTTAGGTGGTAAATATTTTGGATAAAAACCCAATGTGGGAAAGAGACCATAAGTTGCTGCCAACATCAAGGAAACAAGACTGTCAAGGTTTGTTATGTCATGTCATTTTGATATTTGCTATTGATAATTTGACACATGTAAACAATGAAATAAAATTTTCACAATTTCATGCGGATGAAGCCGCGCGGGAATAGGGAAATAATAAAATCCACATTAATATTCTTTATAGTTTTATCATATTTACTTAAGAATATGTAATCTATATAATGGTTTATTAATTCAACAATGATAATATAGTAACAATGTTTTCTAGGCTACATTATCTTCAGACATCTCTACGTATCTGCGAAGGGCTTAATTTCGTAATTAACTGAATGAACCAGTTTTCATTTTAATTCCTGTTAAAATAATGATAGACTGAGGCAATATACTAGGAGGTATTTATATATGACTGGCTGTTGCTCGGGACTACGTCGCGTGAAACTAAAAAAATAATAATCAAATTTATAGCCTATGTTACCTTACTAAAGGTGAAAGAATTTTCAAAATCGGCCTATTAGTTTTTGCATATAACTTAAGTTAAAATGATTGCTTATAATATTCAAAACTAATTTGCAAATGTCACTTCAACCCATATACCAATGTATCATATTTTATACATGTTATTAAATATTATCCCATGTCACAATTTGTAATGAGATAATAAAAATGTATCATGTTTTAATGTATACTTAAACCTTACAATAAGACACCGCATGTGTCAATAACCACATTTACATTTTAAGGATGTTACACAAAATCTATCGATATGATGTCGATAAAAATGACACTTTTTATTAATCAACATCGATAAATGAGAAAACTCGACTTTATATAGATTTCATGAGATATCATAAAAATAAATTTTTAGACAATGAGATTTACGTTTCCATACTTTTGTAACACCCTGCATGTAAAATATATAACTGTTATTTCGTATTACAATTTACAACACGTGTATGTAAATTAAAATCAATACGATAATCCAGGTAAGATCAGAAAAAAAAAATAATCAGCTCATTTGGTCTCAGAAATCTCGATACAAAGAATTAATTAGGCATTAAATTGTCGGCAAGAGAGAACGAAATGTTGCAAGTAATTAATAAAGTTTGAAAGATACAATTACATTTATTTTATCCCTTGGTTATTAGTTTATCTCTAAAAAAAATCTTTGATTTTTACGTTTTATTGTGGTTATGCACTAAATATAGCATATCACAAAACATAATTCATTGCAGCTATTTACAGAAAGTGTATTTAATTGTTTATAAGATTTATTACATTATGATTTGAGTTATACATTTAATTATTGTGTACACTATAATATGTTTAAGTATTACAGTGGTAGTGCCCGCTTTAACATCTTAGCACGAATAGGCCGGCATGCCCGGTGCAATACCACGACCACACAGAATACAGGCGTGAAGTGGATGCAATTCCGCGTTTCGTCTGATGAGTGTGGTGCCGGAGGCCTAATTTAAGTCCCTTTCCCTTTACCACCCTTTTCTTATAAAGAGAGCATGGGAAGGGGAAGTGGATTTGACGGTGGAGGAGATGCATAGGAAGGGGCAATATCCTCTTTATGTGTGTCTCCTCCTCCGTCGGATAAAGGTAGGCAACGCATCTGCGATCGCGGATGTCTATGGGAGCGGTCGCTTCGCCATTTTGGCGGATTCAGGTGGCCTCTTGCTCGTTTGCCACCTTATATTATTAAAAAAAAGAAAAAAAAGTATAAAACTTAATAAAGGGATGTACAACACGAACGGAGACACAACACTATTTTACTTTGATGCTTTATATCGAATTCTTGTATAATATTGTGTAACAATTATGAAACCTGTTATAAAATTTTAACGGATCCAAATAACTGGTACATATAAAATAGGCACACTCCCATTTACGCAGAAACAAATGATAGCTTAAACACGTGCTCGAAGTTTACAAGAATTCTTAACGACGCTAATGATCATCTAATTAATGAGGGATGCAAAAATTGTTTACCCCTTTAAGCAAACTGTGTCCATGGATTAATGTACAAGACGAAATTAAACTAACGTCGGGAAGAAGCGCAAATACTTATTTCAATAAAAAATATGAAAAACTAGCTTTCGCATGCGACTTCGTTCGCGTGAAGTTAAGTCTACGTTTTCTTTCGGATTAAATTCTACATCTGCGCCTAATTTCATCGAGATTCGTTTAGCGGTTTAGTCATCCATATGTACTTTCGCAAATATAAGTAAGATTAAATTAAATCAATAAATTTAATTTTGTAAACAAAGTTCAATGTTTCAAGTTTATTTTTTTCCTCCTTCGTTGTATAAAATGTGTTGAAACTTTATGTTTACGATTAGTTTTTTTAAATGCGTTATAGAAACCGCAAATGAAATACAACTTTTTTATTTTTACAACCATTAGTAAATGATTTGTATACTTTTTACTATTATTTATCAATTAATGTTTTTTATTGCGCAATGAATTAAGAGATTTGTTGTTTTTTTTTTAAACATTTGTCTGTAATTTCTTAATGGCCATGTAACATGCCAACGGTAAATTGGAAACTATTAAAGTTGATAAAACATACATACACGTAATTGTGGAGATTCTATTTTTTTCATTAGCATTTTCAATAGACTTTTGTTTTTTTTTAATAAATTTTTCATGACTGTTAAGGTTCTAAAATTATTACCTTTTTTATAAAAAGTTAAAATGTTTGACAGGTCACAACTTATTTTAACTAGTCTCAGTTTGTAATTGAATTTTTAATCTGTGCAAACATACCAAATAGATTTTTGTAATCAATAATCCTATTTCCATCCTATCATACTTCGGCACTTTTCCTATTATGAAAGACATATTCCTTTACCGACTTTTCTTGCGTTCTCAAATCATCAGTCAATTTAACATGTAGGACTCTTAACGGAAAACTATAGTAATTGGTTGCCAAGTCCAAACTATATCCATCTTATGGCCAATATACCAGATACGTTTATCCATTCGTTAGTGTTTCTGTTTCGATAACTTCATGAAACGCGTTTCCGAATTACATAACGTGAGTTTTACTCCTTTGGAATTTAGCTTAACCTAACATTAATGAATCACTAGGTAAACTATTCTATCTTTGATCTTTATCTATTTTTTTTATCATTTCATCATTTTCTTTTGTCTGTCTGTCTATTTGTCCGCAAGCCGCGTTGGTTCCGGATAATCTCCGAAACGGCTGG